GTGAAAGCTACCTCGCCGAGCAGCGGTCGTGGAAGTTTGCACAAACCGGAAAAATTATGGGGCTGAACATTTCCGCGGCCCCTCTTCAATCCGGTGAGTAAGTCATAGACTCAAGGTCGGAATAGTGCACGTAATACATAGCTGGTTGCCGGTAAAGCGACGAGGACAGTATGTTTTTTTAATGGTAGAATGTAATCTTTGAATCTTTGTTCCCTCGATGAACTCCGCGCTATAATGTCCTCATTTTTCAGTAGAGACCGTTTTTAGCTTGAGTTGTGATTTTTCTGTATCTTCAGCCAAATGACTTGGCTCATTTTCCTGAGTTTGTCTCAAGCATATCGGTTGAATTTAGAAGTGTCATGCACGTGTTGCTAGACCTACTATTAACTCAATAACAATTTTTACAGAAACCGAGGAAATGCGCTTTTACGCCCTTCCGGCGGCGATTATTGCGAGCACCTTCCTGACCCTGGATGCCATTTCGCAATTGCGGATGAGCCAGTAAGTTAAACATACCTTTACAGAGAACTCCATTGAAGAAAACGTGCGTCGCTCGGGGCAACTTTGGCGAAAACTGACAAACCCATCACGTTCTTTTCATTCAAACGGTGGCCGAATAGAGTGCGGACCGAAGTGAGCAAAGCGAATTGTATGTTGCCGAAGTGATAGCATGCGGCCGAAACGTATCGCGGCCGAAGTGGTCAAGAAAAAACGGCTTTAGATCGGAAGTGCTCAACCGCCCAAGTCGGCGACTGCAGTTAGCTGCACAGCCTGCACTCGATCCGGCTGTTTTTTTGAATTTCATTCTGGTCGGTAGAGCTCGATGCGTATGCCTATACGACTCGCACAAGCTAAATTTTTTAACGTAAATTCAATTGCCCGTTTTTTAAATTTTTTAACGTAAATTCAGATACCCCGTGTCAATCAAAAATCTGTTTTTAAATTGTGAAAAAAGTTTTCAAAAATTTGTTACACTCATAAAAAAGAGCAACGTTTTCTCTACTAAGTTACAATCCAAAGCAAACAGAATTTCATTGAGACAGGCAGAATCGACAGCTATCCGGAGATACGTTACGATTCAGAGCTTAAATTTCGTGCTTTACGAGAGGTTTGCGAAACGGATAGGGCTTTGACGTCTACAAAAGAAGCGGGAACTCGTATTCGGAACGGTATTCGTAGGGTTCAGATTGCTTTCTATTAACTTCTGCTTGCATGTTACTTTAACTATACACTGTGTGCAAAGTCGATCGTTATCGCTTTCAGCGTCTGCGCGTTGTGGAGGCTGATTTCGCATGACTACGTTCGGCATCGCCTCATCATTTTCGTCGTACGGTCCCCGTGTGCAGCGGAACACTGGGGCAGCTCGATACAGTGCGCTTTGAATTGTGTCACAAACTACAAGCTAGCAGCAATCATGGAACGCACCGTTTCCAGCGAGACACGCGTGGTGGCGTTGGTAGACAAGAGAACACCGGATGACCGAGTGTTCGACGAGTGTGAAAACGATTTCGCAAGAAAAATGTCGACAATACGCCGTGTACTGGAAAACAAGCGCATTCGGGTGCCCCTGATCATTGCCAAAAACGGCTTTGAAAGCACGGTGTATACTGGCTTTCCCGGCTTAAAACTGTGGCTAGACCAGCAGAGTGGAGAGTGTGAATGCCTTCAACTGTCGTATTGGATGGCCATGTGTCAAGAGCTGGTGCTGATTAAATACACCGTATCCGATCGGAGCGGCGACTATAGTATGTTGCTGTGGCGCGGTAGCGGTAACACGTGGCCGGACAGTGAAAAGGTTTTTATGCGGAAGGACGGCGAAGTTCGCCTGGATGTGCTTATCCCGTTCATGCGCTTCCGTTGCACGGAGACTCCCGCCGAACAGTGTCAAAACGTGTTAGCCGCAGCCAACGACAGTTGTCCGACTGTTACGCAGCGGGTGATGGAAAAGGTCACGGCGGTGCATGCGCGCTGGGTGCGGACGTTGGCCTATCCCGAAGAGTGGACAGGAATTCGCAACTTCCTTCAGACGTGAGTGGCGAAACAGTATTTTTACGGCATTACCGTACTTATAACTAGTTTAATTCTTGTTTATCTACTTAGGTTCAACGGTCTTCGCACCGATGGCAGCCCTCAGCTCTGGGATTACGTCGATTTGCGACAGCTGAACGTCTCAGCGTTGAATAAGTTGACCTTTGCCGTTCTCGATCTGTATTATCTGTACTACAATGACTGACACTTAAAATTTTCTGGTATGCACAGAATATTATGGCTATGTTAAGAACTGCGTGTAACATTCCAAAACGTCCGGACGTTTTGGACGGCTACAGGCGTGCTTTTTAACATGGGGGAGTATGGGTGTTTTTGATGCCATTTTAATTGTTAAATATGTTAGTCACATGCAGCTATAATTACAGTAGCTAAACCGTCACTGGATAAAAGATGCATGTCCGTCGTAACTCCAATTGTTCTGTAATTACAGACCGCTCCCAGTGGGTCTGTATATATGGTGTGCAGACCCATTGTGAGGAGGCACAAAAAATGCAGCAGATTCCCTTAATTTTAGTAAAAAAATGATACGCACTGAACATCTGCTTTAATTTTGCTTGAGAAACAATAGACTACTGTTAGAAAGAAGCACAGCGAAAAATTCGCATTTTTGGTTAGTTACTTAGTGAACGCGCACGAGAAACTTGGTCGAGTGCGGGTTCCTCGAGTTTCTAAAACAAACGATCGTGCTACTTTGTTTGTGTACCTTTTTCGATTTCTCCAGTGACAACAAGTTTTTACGTACACAGCGTCAATCAACAAGCGCTTCGATGTTCGTACAAAATTTGGCGTTTTACAAGCATTAATTGGGTGTAAGCGTCCAAAACGTCCAATGAATCTAAGTATCAGGGTTTAACATACCATCACCATGGTGTTGATCTTCATGTCAACTACAGTATTGATGCTACCAAAGTGCAAACCCGCTAACAGCACACAGCGAGTATACCTAAATCTGTAGTCACATACACGGGGATTATCATCATGCCGGCAAAAGTGCTAGCACATACGCCCTCAAAATTACTTTACACTATAAACTTGATATTTTTGAGTGGAAAAGCCTGGTAACTTCACAGGACGGAAAGAGAAGGAAAAAATGTTTAAATGATGCCCGTGTGTTTTAAGAAAACGCACAATGTATATTTTTCGAAGTCTTTTTCAAGGAATCCCACCTTTATGTGATTTGCACACACAAACACACACTGTGGAATTATGAAATGGCTAGACCACACGATAATCTTACGCTTGGCACTCGCCTTTCTGTCTACTCAGACAACTTCAGAATAATATTGTGAGTGTGAGGTATTCAAAAAAAATTATTTATTTGCTGAGCTTGCCAGTATAACTGCCGCATTCTTTTCATTTTCTTCGTAATAAAAATTGGCACGAACCAATGTTGCGAAGTGTAATAGGAATTGTAAGCCTCGAGTATCACAGCTGCAGATACAGATATGTCATAAAATATCCGGGTTGGACGGCAACAACATTTTTTCTGACGTAGATTCTAAAACGGTGGAGAAAAAACAGCTGAAAAATACCCTTGGGCAATATGCATCTAGTTGGTCTGCTACTGCACGAATGCGAGTCATAAAAAAAATCTGTTGCTTAATGTTACAAAGCTTCTGCTGTTTTCTCTGCATTTAAGCCAGTTTACCGCAGCGTAATAGAAGTTAGATCTAAACAATTTTCTGGCCCGCGTTATGTACGAGTACTTAACGGTCGTTTTAAATTGCTCACAATGTTTGGCAGAATGCTTTTCTTGGTTTTTGCGGTCGGATCATTAGCACGGGAGTTTGGTGAGCCAGCACTGCAAATGTTGTAATAAGGCCATTTTGTAGCACATCGTCGGTTTCTCTTATTTATGCTAAAAAAACGCATTTTGTAACTTTCAGGCAGGTTTAATAACCAAGGCTCGTCTTTCGGCCAGCAAGGTTCTCAAGATCAAAGCGCGTTCCAGTCGCAGGACCAAGCGCAAGGCGATGCTGCTGCCGGTGCCGATCAAGCATCCGTCGGTGGCAGAGGCGCCTCCCAGAGCACCAACAAGGCCGCCAATCAAGCCGATGGCAAGAAAACCCAGTCCAGCGGTCTGAGCGCCAACACTGCTCAGGGTACCGGCGGTATTAATGCCGGCGTCGCAGCTCAAGTCGGTGGTCAGACCGCCAGCCAAAAAAAAGCAAGGCCAGAAGACCAGCTCCAACTTCGGTAACTTCGGTAACCAAGGCTCCAATTTTGGTAGCTTCGGTAACCAAGGTACCGGTTTCAACCGTAACCCCGGCTTCTCTAATAATAATGGTGGATTCCCAAATACTGGTTTCAACGGTGGCAGCAACAGCAACAGCGGCCGTACCGGTCAGAATTTCAACAAGGCCTCCAATTCCGGTGGTAATGCGGCTAACGCTGGTACGGCTTCTGCCACCAATGGACAGGCGACGAGTATTAACACGGCTGATCAGAATTTTGATACCGCGGATCTAAGCGGTGGCCAGAACGGCTTCTACAGAGACCGGATAAGGCATCCATCCCCAGTACCTGTTGTGCGTCCGCCCACGAGGGATTGGACGTGGCCGTTGTGGCAGTTAAATAACTATGGTCGCGCCCAGTCAAACCCACCCAAGGGTTTTGGGCGGTTTTAATCAATTCTATGATCAGGACTGCTGATTGCTAGTCCTTTGCAGTTATTCAGTGACTGCAGCAATGCTTTTAGACGTAGAAATAGCCGATTCGAAAGCCAAGCATGCTCACGAATTTTTAATAATTGCGGTACCTGAAGTACGTATATATAAGTATAAACTGACAACTGCTCCTCCTTGTATTGAGATTGTACAAGTTTATAGTATTACATTATTGAACTGTAAGCGCGCAGATAGCTGCATCGGAAAAATGAGATGTACAGCGAAAGGGATGGTTTAGATTACACTATTCTTTCAATGTTTATCGTAAACGGCTGCAATGCGGTGATGTTATTTTTCGATGTTTCAGGTTTTTGTCATAAATTAAAGAAAGTCTTGCCCTTAACCAGGAATTCTGAAGATCTAGAACAGGGATTAGTGCACTTGGGCTAGACCACAGGGATTAGTGTATTTTGTACTTATATTTCAGCTACTACCTTTCAGAGTAGCATTATTAACGGGTACCAGAAAACAAAAAAATTAAGAATTAAAATTGCACACCGGACAAACTGAAGGGTTCGGCTAAACATAACGGTACGCGGTACGCGATGCCCCGGTCTAGCTGACTGGGAACAAAAGAATATTTCCGAATCCTTGCTGATAAGAGTCCTATCGGAAACGACATCAAAATTCTATACATCCATATTACTATCCGTACAGGATTGTGTATGTACAGCAAATACCTTTTACACAACATCACTGGTTTGAATCTGCATGAGCGCGGTTATATTAAAAATTAACGCGTATAAGAATCACGATAACGTGATGCAATAAAGCAGCAGCGCAGCAGCTGTTAAAATCCAGGCTAATTTCTATCAATATAGGTCAAGTCGGTTGAACGAGCGGCGGTAAGCGAAGGTAACGCGGCCGTATGCGGGAGCGCAGCTGGCGCCGACCAAAGCACGACACCGGATTAAAGAAGCACACCACGTTAGAGCTCTTCTTCGTGCTCTCGCGATCCATCAGCGCCCCCGCACCCTCCATGAAAGCGTCCATCGAACGGGGTGAAGGGATCTGAAGTTTGGGACTGCCGCTGGACGGCTCCGTGTTATCGCCATTCAGACTCTCGGCCACGGCGGTTTCGCCGTCGTAGTTGGGAACGTAATTGGCGGCGTTGAACTGGTTGTAGTTGGCGCGGGCCATTTTCTCGTGATCCAATTGTTTCGATGTCTCCATCGACCATTTGACCCAGGCGGGAATCTTGGTCAGTAAACTCTTTTTCGCCATTGCCGGCTTAACCTGCAAGTCGAGCCAAGCAAAACTGCAATACTGCATCATAAAAATTTAATTTCGGTATCAAAGTATTAAAAAATTTATTATCATTAATCATTATCGTCTATTCGTTTTCGGCGGAGGTACACTGACCTTTCCAGTTTTGAACAAATTGGTATAAAAGCAGTATAATAGTTTGCGTTGTTTTAATTACTTACAAGATTAATGCGAACCGATGTAGATAAATTTTTAAATTTAATTAAACCTATTAAAACAAATTTCTGTTTTTATTGAAACTTCAAAAAAATGTTTTTCCGGCGATTGTTAGATTTAAAATAACTATCTAAATTTGCGTCCGTTAGGTCGCAAAAGTTTCTTTAGGATGTCCATTACTTACAGAGAGACCCAGTTGAAGATTTTGATAAGGAAACCGCCAGCTGGAACCGGATGACTGCGAGACGCCCAAGCGGCACATATATCCGTTTTGACCCCGACATTTAAACAGACCCGGTGATGTACGCATCGGTGGCACCATATTGGGCGGAATCGCGTTGATACGTTGTGACATCCATGATAACGAGAAAACAGCTAACGATGGTAAAAATATGTCCGCATATCGCACATGCATGGCTCCAAACATACAGAGCTAAAAGGTGAGAGCATTCAACACCCCTACCAAGGCTCAGTATAAACTTTTACCAATAATATTTAAACCGTCAGAGGAAATCGCAACTCATTTCCAACTACATCACCCGTTTAACCCTTTTTAAGCAGGTTTATTCCGCTGGAACAATAAAACGCGTGGACGCTGCACAGTTCCGCGAATCTCCCATCCCGTGTTATGTATATAATAAACAATCAGCAAGGGTGTTGTGACGGTGAGCCGGCATTTAGGGGAATATCACACAAATGGCCCATAACAAGCGATTATATAGCTGCGGTTACGTGGATGCGCGTGTGCCGGGTGTATTGTAATTCCTGACAATCGCGGGCGCCCGCGCTACTCATACGGTTAAATTGTGTCCTGGCCCTTCCGGAAGCCATAAGTCAGTCAGAATGTTTGTGGAGCAGGAGCGGATGTTGATGCCGGCTGGGCGCTGACTGCGCACTTTACGGCCCCTGCCAATCCCCGTATCGTGACCGCTAAGCCGCTGGTCGAGGGTCTTCTATCGCGCTGGTATAAAGATCCCGGCGCAGTTGGCCGCCAAAAGCTGCTCGTCTGATTGCCGGTAAAAAAGGCACAATTGTATAATACCCAGCGTAAAGGTCTGTATGATGACGTCGACAAGTTAGCAAATTTACCGGATTGGCCGAATCCAAAAGCACGCAGGTCTACGCCCATCAGGCGGTGAAATATGCCTTAACGGCCCGTCAGCGAATTAATATACAGTTTAGGACAATATTCTCTTTCCGCCACATATTATATAAAGCGCTAAAGAGCAATGAATTAATTACGTGTTTATGCAAGGCGCACGAATGTTAGTCTTTGCGACATATGTGACGTACAAAACCGCTTTTGAAGAGTAAAAAAACTTATATTGCAACAGCCATCTGATGCAACATTAAAATTTTAAGTAAGCTGGTATACTTGTATCAGTTGTATAGCTGTCCTTTGGAAAGAGAATATTGTCGTCTTAAATTGTTTGCATCCTGAGATCAGCACTGGAAAAATTTTCTTGATTGGCTGAAGTCAGGTTACGCCCAACGTGCGCTAAACTTCACCTTTAAAGAAAGTCAGCAGCTTGATCTATACGCTAATACTGTTGATACGCAGATGTTGCACCGTTAACTGACGTTAAAGCACACAAGTCTAACGAGAAATAAACCAGGAAGTAACGAAGCCCTTCCGTTGATTCGCCGAATCGCTGGTGTCTGCTGAGTGTGTGTTTGTACATCGAACGTCATACCGCAAGGAAAAGGTGCAACACATGCTGTTCAAGATTGTTGTGTTTCTGCATTGTCGGCTTCCTATTTTGGCGCCACAAATAGACCGACCATTATTGAAGTATCATAATAGGTACTTGTGAAGCAATGAGAGCGGCGCCCATCCGGCGTTATTAAAAAAACGCCCCACTTGTTAGACAATACAGCGTGCGAGCAATATGACATCTTCACGCAAATTTCCGGTGCAATATAAATAATCCTAAGTCGGATAAAAACATGGCACTCAGATTAATTACGGAGAAGAATGAGGTGGTCAAAGCAGAACAAAATGCCCGGTCCACATCCGGGCGCTGTACAAGTGGGCGAATGCCGGGAAAGAGGGTGTACGTATACGGCTACAATACCTCTTTAGTTTGGAAATAAAGCCCCACCAGTGGATTATGGACACACCTCAGTCAGAGCAGATAAAATGGAGACGCCTTAGTTGTTCGAAAAGATGCAGTGCGCAGTATTACTAGGATCAATAAAACTGTCTTACTTCTTTAAGCTTTCTATTTTCTTGTTTTAACGGTGTTTTTTTTTAATGTGCTACTGCAAGGAAATACGTATTCTGTATAATCCTGAGCTCTGAAATTCTTTACTACAAATATCGAAAGAAAACCAGTCAAATAATTATGTTGATAATAATAATGATGATTCATGGTAATGATTCTTGTCGTAATATTGCAGAATCTTTCAACTTATCGTTACGTACATACAAACGTATACTGTTCACTTACCAGAAGTGTAATAATGCGCCAAACGTGAAGACTAACTTCACCTCATAAACTGCATCTCAGCAAAATAGAAATTTGGTTTAGTAAAATCAGCATTAAATTTAAATCAGAATTACTTTTTAATTTTATGCTACATTTTATTAATTGATCCCTTTGTTTAATTATTTAACCATTGCTTTGATGCAGTAGAAAATCTGCTTGACGGACAACCAGCATAAATACAGAAACGACAAAAATATCCCACCAAGTAAAAATACTCTGTTCATCTCGGTATTGAAAAACCGCTTATCTTCGCTTAGCTGAGCAAATCCGATCATCAAATATGTCGACATGAAGTAAACGAATGTAAAAAACAATGACAGCAACCAGACCAAGCCGTGCAGAAGTGTGATTACACCCAAGAATATCTGGCCACCGATCTTGCGTGGTACGGCAGCAGCGAACATGGCGAACACCGACAGGAAGTCGTAGATTAATATGGGCCATAATCCTTCGTCCCGCTCGTAATTGTACGTTATGATAACTAAAACAATGTAGTTTATTTCAACTATATTTTTGCGTATTATAAGCTATTTTTCTGGTTGACTTTGCAAAAAGACGACGCAATGTCCCAACATTCGGTCTAAACGAGCAATTTTTTTTGCAGCTGCATGTGTGTTTTGCCTGATGGTCAATTTATTCCGCACTTTTTACAGTTATACTCATACATAAAAAATGTATATCGAGCATATTCTGGTTGAATTAAAAGATCCTGGAAATTACTGCAAGAATTCTGTCAGGTTTGACTGCTTGCGTAACAGCCAGCTAAAAGGGACCATCGATCACGCAGACGCGGCTAAATTATTTCTTACGCAGAATCATTGATTAAGGATAAGCAATTCTATTGCAAAAGAAGTCATTATTTACAGATATATCTTGAGTATTCAAAGATCTCCATCGTCCTAAATTCTGGATGGGAAAACACAAATTGTTATTGAATAGTTGGCTTACTTATTATATTTAGCAGTAGAATTGCCGTTGTTGGGAAGAAATGTCGAAAGGCTGTCTCTCTGATCTTGGCCCGATAATGTGCATCCATTGCGTACTTCAACAAATTATCACGATCACGATGTACCAACAAAATAAATTATTAATCGCTGCAGTTGATCAGCTACTTCTTCAGGTGATTTTCACACTAATAATTTCCACACTAAATTAGCACGGATACTGCGATTTTGTATTAAGATACCAGGCCGCTGTACCTACTTGACTGATATTTATCACGATGGTATTAAAATGCGCACGCTTATAAAGTTATCATTAAAGCCAGTTGTAATTATGCAACAGATAAGCTGTTGGTTCAGTTATTCGACTCTGATAAGATTACACCTGCACTGGTATTGTAAAATTCCGCCGCGCACTAATTGTATTATGAAAAGCGTACCACGCTCCGTATGCACCGTACACCGCTAATAAACCAAGCAGTATTTCGGTAAACTGTGATCTTAAAAACGTTTAGAGAAATGTATCTCTACGGGGAGAACACAACTTCCACCGTAGAATGGAACAGTGTGGATGTCATGGTCAACGGACAGCTCCAGCACGGCATTGTCGTCGGTGTCATGCCAGATGCGTTAATTGTGGACTTTCGGTGTCCGTTGCAGCGCTCAGTCATCGTACAGTATGGCAGAGCGTATAAGAGCTCGCAGTGGCCCGTGATGCCAGAATGGGATTCTCTGCCGGTGGAACGCAGTGATGTGCAAGTGCTGCTGCGCATTCGTCCAAATCTTGCGTGGATCTGGTATCCTGGCCGGCTTCACCACTACGACCAAGTGAAGGTGAAAGTGCGCCTACCGGGTCGCACCACATGGGCCGTGCTGCCGCGAGGGCAGGCTCGCTTGCCGCCGTCGGCATCGGAGATGGATAGCCGGCGCGTGCTTCCCGGCGACTTTATGATAAGCAGCCGTGAATTGCCGGCTTCCTTCTGGGATGGGATCACGGTGCCGTTGTTGGCTAAGTATAAACACTTTCTCGATCTGGACTATTGCGTGCATCTCGTTGTCGCGACCAGCACATCGCTGTTCTATGTCAAGCGTCTGGACAGCCAACTGGACTTGCCTACCCCACTGGTAAACAATACAACTACATGTACTGGCAATATTTCCTTTCTGTAGCATAGTACTGTTTTACTCGCAACTAGTAAATTCAGATTTTACAAGCTTCACTCAAAACGTTCGCACGTGCAGGCTTGGAACACATGTGGCTCAGAAATCGTCATAAATAGTGGAATATCACGTTGTACTTGTGAATTCTAAAATTTTATTTCTCAATATGTATAAGGCGAGCTTCCCTCAACAAAACTGATCAAATGAAGAATTTGTCCCAATTAACATGGGAAGGGACAGTGCACAAAACACTCATCGCATTGCCACGCATAATCTCTAAACTTAAACGTTGAAACAAAAAACAAGTAGAACGGCTCTCGCCCGTCCTTAAAAACAACTTTTTACCAATCTCTTTTAACGTAATAATGCCGGTCTCACACCAAGTGCCAAAAGTCTCGCATGCAAAGGGGACAAAATTACAGCGATCCATAAGCGACTTGTATTTTCCAATCTTCTCCCGGCAGGCCAGTTCAGCGGCAGCGCCAGCACACTTTGAAGTCGCGTCAATGTATGAATCCGCCATCGTGTCTCTGCAAGTGACGTCCCAAACTAACGGCTGTCCGCGGTACCACTTCCAACGCGTGGCTCCATCCGGGCGCTTTCCGTTTTCACGCAAAAAGCCAATGGGCTCCGGATATGCTTCAATGCCGGCATTACATAGCGCTCGCAGTATGATATCGTTGATACCATTATGGCGTTCCCTTCTCCCGATGCACTTCTTGCAAGCTAGCCCATGGTATCCGTTTTCCGCAACCTCTTTGCCACATCTCGCACATGAGTGCTGCTCTACGATCTTGGCGCCAGGCCATAGGCCAACAGAGATGCGGAAAGTCTGATCATCCAGGAGGTTGCCGAATACTTTCGCGGGAAGGGCGTTAAGCCAGGCCCCAGCGTACTTCGTGCTGACTGCTCTCAGGCGAGCTTCGGTTCTTTTATCTACACCAATAATATTCCACAACGTGTCCACATCCTTTTGGATTACCGCGTTATCCCAAACGCATTGGTGAACGCGTGCCAGATCTAACGGCAGTTCTTCACACGCAGATTCCAGCTTCCAGTTTTCGCACGCATCGCTGACCAACTGTTCGCTGTTGCTGTTGAAGACTTGTGAATTGTGACCAAAGTGCGTACTCTGGAAACACTATACCGCAAATATAGGTTCTCCGTTTCTATTATTGCATAAGAACATAACGAGTTAAACAATTTAAACTGATGCTTATAATATAGAAAATAACACCAAAGTTGTTACCTGCTTTAGCTACTCGATCAGCTCCTGCTAAACCGTGCAACAACCATAACTCCTTATAGTAATTCCGGTTTTCAAAATACATTACACTAGGCATCTTTAATAAAATTTCACTTTAAAAATAAGAAATTTCGACGTGTGTATAACCAAATCCGTTTCCGAATTCCGTGATCGGAGCCAAACCCCGTGCGAACCCGTGAGAATACGCGTGCAAGCTACAACAACGTAAACGTTCTGGACAGCTGGCCTGTTAGTCAAGGCTGTCCAACGGAAAAAAAATAATGTTGAAAATATTTTTTGTTCGAAAAACTGGCTAACCGCTCTTCTTCTTAGCAGTTACTGTACTGTAAGCATTTTCCATGCTGAATGCAGAACGAAGCTTTGGACTGCTTTAAAAGACGCACTGGCCGTCCCTTTATAGCCGGTTACGAGAACTGGGTTCGTAAACGATTCGACGAAAGAAACACGATGGAACCGAAAGCTCCCTTCAGTGAAGTACACGTCATCACAGTGCCGACTGAACTGGTCATCGAGGTCTTCCTCTGTCTGGACACCATCGATCGACATCGATGTCGGCGTGTCTGTAATCGGTGGGACTCACTCTTAGTGTCTCCACTGCTGGACCGGGATTTCCGTATCTCTATGAACGAAAGAACCCTCTCGCCGTACCCTTACTACGACCGGCAGCCGTATTTCACACTGATGAATATTCTGCTGACACGTCTCACTCCAGCAACCAAAACCATTTGCATGATTAATGCGAAATATAGTAACTGGCAGCCGACTACCCGGGAAATCGAGTTCATCCTAAATCAGACGACTTTCGGGACAGAAATTAAGCAGATGGTTTTTGCTAACTGCCAGTTACAACTGGCGGGTGACCGATCGCTTGCCGAATACCGGCAAGTGATATCGTGGGATTATTATAATTTAACATTCTGCTGGGAGAAAATCGTGTTTCGAAACTGTACGCTGATCCATGCGTATAATGCCGATTACACCGCGGCGTATGTCCCGAACGCAGTTATCCACCCGAAGCACTTCAGCTACGCACAGCTGTGTGCCCGTTTGGAAATGTATGTGGTCTTTAAGCGACGATCTACACTGGATGAAGATTCACCAGAAGCAGATACTTATTACTTTAGCGGTTATTGATGCGGATTAGGTCTGCTGTTATTAAGAATGTTATCGGTAATGTTTTCTTGAAGCATTTATGAAGGGTTACGAAGCAATGGCTTTTCACAAACGAAAACCATATACAGATCATGAATACCACAAGATTTCTTACACAAAACGAGGACCAGAAGGCCTTATACAAATACGAGTACTGTATTTACCGAACAGACGAGGCAAACAAGCAAAACAAGAGCAGATGAGAACAGAGAAGAGCCGATAAGAATATCAGATAAGAGCAGATGAGAATATCATCAATTTCATAGAACGGATGGAAACCCAAGTCGTGAAAATAACGTTGTTTAGGTATTAGCCGTAACGCTAGCAAACCAGACGTCCACTGTTCTAAGTTGTATGAACTACGTAGTGGAAGAAACAGACGATGTGGAATATGAATACAACCCGTAGCATGGTTTAGCCTTCCAAGCATTTAATCAATGCTGCGAAAGTAACTTTGCTAAGAGCGGACACGTCGAGTTGGCGCAGATCCATGCTGTTCCATCGCAGTGAATCGTCATTGGAACCCAAAGTGTTGTACCTGTTTAATAGCAAGCGATTCTTTCATGTAAACGTGTAATCAGGTATACAGGGTGTCGGCAATTGTGTGGTTTGTCCTCACTTTGTCAGAAATATGCGAATGCGCAACCATTCGTCGGGATATGGTAACCATTCCTCGGAATAGGGAAACGTCTGGAGCCAGCGCGCATGTATCGCTGTGACATTGTCTCGCATACGCTGAGCTACAGCTGGACAGTTGTCGTTCGCGGCGGCTAGAAAGCGTCGATTGTGTTCAGCAGCTGTTTCCCCAGAACGGAAGCGCAGGAATGGAATGATAACATCCGACTGAGATTCGGTATTACGTTCTTGCTGGTCCATCCTGAATGGACACTGGCACCATATGCTCCGAGCGGGCCCAGCGATAGTTGCTGTCGCGTTATAATTCAATATTACCAGTTCCTCACACACCGACATTAACTCTGTCAGCGTCCAACGTCCATAGTCTTCCCCGTACATAATATTGCTTCTACTGGGCAAGAAAAAACCAGATGATAGGTTATCACTTCCATTCGTCACGATGATCAAGGGCAGTCGAATGCTTTTGGCGTCTAGCAACATCCCGATACCCGACAGCGTATCCTTGACACCATACCGGCCGTTCAATCGAGTATCGGCCTGTTGGTCTTCAATTAGGGCTAGCGTTTGAGTCTGCTGCGTCAATGTGCGGTTGAGAATGGTCATGAATTTAAAGATGCGGAACTGCTTTTCCACATTGGAATTTTGATCATAGTGCTTCGTTTGGTGTGTTCGACGTTTGTCAAAAATGATGTGCCGATTGTTTCCAGGTTCAAACAGAAGAAGCCTCCATAGCGCGCATACCCTGATAAACAACCATGAAAAACCCGTTGCTGGGAGTGCAAGATTAGGTACAGAGTCATTAACAAGAAAATAGTACACTAACGCAACGCGACCCGGTACATGGCACCCAATTTGTGTGCATGCACAAAAGCGTTTGCTTTCAAGCATCGAGACACTTTTTTGCATCGATTTAGGCAGTGTGAAGCTGAATGATTTGTATACATAGGCGTGAAAAATGTTTTTCCGTGCAGCGTCTGTTTGACGAATTATGGCTGAGAATTACAAAACGCTTTAACTGTATTCAGGTTCACCAAAGGTCTTATTATAGACCGGTCATCTCAATTTTTGCTCAAAATGGAAATTTGGCATGAAGACCGATTTCACAGGGAAATAAGTTTCCAAGATGGTTTCAAAGTGTTAAAATAAATTATAAAAATTAAAAAGAACTATTTTAAAATTTAAAAAAATGATAGAAACCTGGCTCCGGTCTTCATGCTAATGAGCGATTTTAGGCAAAACGTGTGGAATTTTATTTTACCCATAGTTTCGCGCGGACAAACCGTTTTCGCGCCAATGTATACAGTCCATTTTCCATATATGATCTCATAAAACAATGACAACGAAACAATTGCGCGAAAGCGAACGTTTTCGTGCATTCATGATGAACATGATCATGATCACCGGGGGGCCATTTACCGGTTAGCTGCCCTTAATCCGAAAGTTCTTATAGCAGACGTACCGGTATGTCCGTAGTTGGGTCTCGATATCTAGATGAAGCAGAATAGAAGCCACGATCGGGTGTACGAGAACGCTGATAGACGGCTCAGGCACATCTGTTTGACAGATAATTATTTAACACGGTTATGGGAAACGCGGGAATACTGTACAGAAATACATTAGGACAGTACAACAAACGACTAGAAGAGTACATGTACTGCACTGTTGCTGTGTCAACGATCGGACACTCACTCTGTTGAAGAAAGATCTCAGACGGAATCTCTACGGTACGAGGTTGTTCCGCTAGCTGCTCATGGAGATAGTTTTCACACGCTTCCCTTAAGGATTCGTCGTTCCAGAACATACTGCTCTTGGTGGTTATTTGGCCTTCCGCAGTGTGTCGCGTTGCGTCTTCGTGCACTTCGGCGCAAATCAAAGTGATCGCATCGACATTCGCCCGCACAAACACCCGACAGCCAACATCGAACATGTCATACTCCTGGTTCGATGGCGAGGGCAATGTTTTACAATTAAAAATAAGGGTGTCGGTGGACTCCTCTCGGTCATACTGGCAGTTGTGACAACCGGAAGTACACGATTGACCTGGGCCCAACTCCTACTTTCGTGTCTCTCTCGCGTACACCGAAAGCTTGCGCACGCAGGCTGCTACTGATTGGCTTGCTGGCTTGATAATCAGTAGGCAGAGAATGCCGCCTACAACACTATGTGCCGTGTCTAAGCAATCTTGACAAAACCGTTTTGCAGGAATACCAGAATACTAATGGTAAATTTTGCTTAGCAGCGTACAAAATTATTGTGGCCGACAGAAACGTTTGCTAGGTCAGAGAGGCAGGGCAACAGATACGTCCTTGTTGTTTGCTCGACCAGCACACCCCCCCCCATATTTATGTCACACGAAATCCGTTATGAGATCCGCGATGAAACTACATTCACTAGATGTCACAGCGCTTCTGTGTTTGCACACGATAGTGTTCAATCTTAGCTCACATGGGCCATCATCAATAATTTATGCAGGCTGGAACGATTAATTGCAACTAGAGTTGACCTTTCGTTCTCTGATCAGCATGGATGCGAATCCACGTAATACTTCAGAGAACTGCAATCACCTGATGCGCGACAGATAAATTTTGGGAATACAGTTCTGGTACAGCGCGACAGCGGGCAATGGGGGCTGGGATACGTTCAAGATATTGATGGCGACCTCTTCTTTGTGGACTTTGATGCTACCACAGTCAGTGCGCAATGGATTCATTCCAAACTTCTGTGGCACCATCGCTTATACAATGTTATTTATGGACACGGCCCTTCGTACCACGTTGCTCTGCGCGACGGAGATGGTTGGCCGTTGGTTTTCCGACCGGCCCGAAATTTCGAGCGCTTGTGGGGCATACTCCACTATGTCAGTCCACATAACCCGGATCCAACGAGTGCGACTCGCGGTTGTGTCGTGCACGCGTCACAGTTTGTTGCTAAGCTGCCGCTAGCGAACGAAGACCCGAGTTTATTCTCACGAAGCGGAGTGATTTTCCGGAAACATGTTATTCGGTTCGAAGAGGCGCACCAGCTACGCGGGGTGCATTTCATGCCGAAGTTTCTGGGCCGTTCATGCCGTATAACATTGGGCAGTAGGGACTCATGTGATGCCAGCTGTCGTTTCGACAGGTCTCCGCATTTTGACACAATTAAGTTCCGGTGCGCCGCGAGACATCGCAATCGAAATGTGCGCTATCATTTCGAAGTCCGGCTGTCGAGTATTTGTGCGAGCGGATATCGACACGGTCACCTTCGTTTGCGCCGAATGGCATGGCAAGGCTGACAAGCGCAGCATGTTCTGGAATGAAGAAGCTTTGAAAGAGGCTTGCCAAATTACCTGAACGACCAACAATTGAGAGAAATTTCTAAACTGATCGTGGACGAATGCGGCAGTGCATCGTTTCAGCAAGGTGAGAAAATTAATATCAGGAAAATAATAATCCAACAATACGAACAAAAAGTTAGGAATTCAGAGCATTAACAAGCAAGGTCACTTTGCAATGGTTGTTTAATGCTCGCTAAATTTCGCTTATTGCAATGGGCCAGTAGTCAACGGTCATATTAATCCTGGCTGATTGCCTAATTTGCAGACGACGGGGAAATTGGCATCAGTGACCTTCCACATCCAATCACTGCGTGTATACTGCTTAGCCTGGATATCATCACTCAGTTACGAGCAAGCCGGTAATGCTAACTTGCATTTATCTGATCTATGTAGGATGGAACGAGCAAGCAGTTTTGTTGTCGCAGCGGTTCTTGCAATACAATTCTCAGAACAACTTCAAGGATTATTACGGGCTTGCTTCCCAATAAGCGATTACCTACGTAACTTAAAAATTAAAATTTTTTCGAATGATCACGGAAACACGAACTTTTCCGAATTCCTTCCAGCTGTTTGGATTCTCACTATCTGCTGATTACTAGTGTGAGCTGTTTTGCTTTTAATCAGGGTGTGCATGTTGTGGACGCTTCTTCTGGGTAGAAACATAGTAATCATCACGTCGTCCTCGATCTGCGCCCGATCCGCCCCCGGGAGTCATGGAACAGCGAATTTCCCTTGGAGCACAGAAAATGCCAACACGCATTTGTTACGTTGCTGGACCGAGCAATTGGTCAGAAGACGCAGACGTGGCGTTAATTGAGACGGAAGAAATCTGTGATCAACTGGCACGCTATTTATCGTACAAGCTTCAGCTCATGAAGAGAATACTGGAACTTAAGGGTATTCATCTACAGCGAAACATCATCAAAGACGGCTGAGATGCGTATTGTGCGATGCGCTTTGCATTTCTTGGTTTGCGACGGGGTAATCAGGATAACAGCTGTCAGTGCAACATGCTGTGCAATTTGTGGACAGTCTGCGACGAATTTTTGCTGGTTAACCACAATGCGTCGCAGCCGGCCGTCAACGCTTGTCTATTGGGCAGCTTGATCGGCACCAGTGGATGGCTACGCTTGTCTTTTGTTTTATTATGTTATTCCAGTGCTGTTCTTCGGCACGTTATTCTATACAAGAAACAGCCTCGGCTTCGCCTCCGCGTTTCTTGTGGTCCCCAGTCTGCGGCCGGTTTATTTCAAATGATTTTGACCAGCTGTGTAGTTAACATCTTATTCCTTCAGCAAAACAAAACGGTCCGAAAGTAGCGCTAAAATGGAGACAGGATAATAAGTGAATTTACAGCTTTTGTGCAGTCAGATGCATTCACTTTGACTCAGAAGGGAATCTTTGTTAAATTTTCCATCCCGACTCTGAGTCTACGAGGTAGAAAATTTCAACGTAAAGAATGCTTGCAGTAGATGCAAGCAAAATGCAGTAGAATGCTTGCAGTAGATGCAAATTTCCAGGATGTACTGTACTTGCTCATGCAGATATTGCGTTTGGGACTAATTAGCTTTAGGCAGATTATGCTCGATATCGTTTATACGTAGTATGCCAAAAGCAATTGTTGTCGATAGTCTAGGGCTTCCTATCGCTAATGTTCGTTTTTAGTCATGACAACGTATTCAACAACGTTCCCTGTTTCATGATGTGCGGTGCAAGAAATCTGTATAGTTTGTGACGAACTTTTGTCATAACTCACGGCAGCTGTGTCAGAACAGGAGCCACAACAAGTACAGCGACTAAGCAGCATGTCTGCCGCTTGTTGCGGTGTAAAGACGCAATCAACTGCCTTCCGAAAACTCCTGTAGGGTATGCCAAAAGTTTCCACTTTCAGCGACGATTGCCTTACCCACAAATTATCGCATGCTCGTCATATGGTAATGCCAATTGCCAAGTGATAGCAGTTATCGGCGCGCGCATATCATAATTACAAATTTGTATTGCGTTGTCAACTTCCAACTGTGTGGCAACTGTCTTATTTACGTATGCCACATTTTCCGTTATCTGCATTACTACTGCTGCAGAAGAAAATAAAAAGAGCTGCAATGTTGTGCTAATAGTAACCATCCTGCTGACGTTGACATTATATTAACTCTTCTACTGTTAATCTGTCGTTCCTAAACATTTACTATGCATTTATACGGTGAATGCGAATATTCTTTCAGCGCTTGGTACAGTGTGAATGCGCTGGTCAATGGCCAACTCCGACGCGGGTGTAGCACGTGTTGCGCTAATTGTGGACCTTCTATATCCTTTACGACGTTCGGTTTTGGTTGAATATGGAAAGCTATTCCGGTGCTCCAACGAACCGTGGACAGTTGAAGGCGGTGTAGGCGATGTACAGGCGCTGATTCGAAGCCATTCTCATGGCGCCTGGATTTGGTGTCTTGGGCGTGTTTTACACACTGATTTCCACGACCCCCTGCGGGATCATGCAGCCGTAAAGGTGTACCTGGATGGCAGCAGTAGTTGTGAGCTGTTGCCCTTTATACAAATCCGCCGCTCGCTATCGGATGTCGACTTGGACAGGCGACTCATTAAACCTAGCGAATTTCTTATCGGATTGTGCTCTGCCGGCAAAATGCCGCGCCGGCGTCGAGCCACTTCCTGTTTTATCTTCTGACATCATCTATAAACTTGATCGGAGTTATCACATTTACCCGTTAGCTGTTACGAAGGATTCTCTGTTTTACGTTTATCGACGAGACAGGAAGCTCACTCTACGTAGACTTGTACGTTCTAGAAGAAGTTTGATATTACGAATCAGTCTACATGCTTGGAATTTCGTTAGTTACCATAGTTTCTAATCCCACCCTCGTAAAATACCCTCGTAGTTACCGTCGTAAATACGATGTAGTACGTTGCGTACAGAAGAACAAAAAACACTGCATTGCAAGTGCAGAAGTGTCGAGTTTGTGTAATGGTAACACCGTCATTACTATTTATCTTATTTTAGGACCCCGTATTTGAGAGGAAAAAGAGTGTGTTTTGCCCATCAGACTTTCCGGATGGCAGTTTTAGAGAACGGCTGAACACCCGCTATAATCCTCGGACACCGATTCGACAAAAGCTGCCACTTGAAGACGGGGACGCACTGCACTTGCCAGTTTAGATGCTGCTCGAGATCTTTGGGTGTCTGGACACCATCGGACGGCAGCGTTGTCGGCGCGTCTGTGCGCTGTTTAGCACACTTCCAATGCTCGAAAAATGGGGTATAGATGTTCGAGTTTCGATGAACGAGAGGGGCTTTTTCGCGCTTTGGCTAGTTTCCGCTGTACCAAATTCGTGTGCCTCTGCGGAAAGTTCGGTCATGTGCATGTCTGACAGTTTTATTCATTAAACTTATGTTTTCTATTTGTTCCTAGCTAAATGAGAAATGTACATCGGAGAGAAATCGGTTTTCCCAGCTCTGGGTTGGGCGATGACTGCCTGTCATGTAATTCTGCGACTTCAATGACCGTCACTTCCTTAGTTTTTCTAAAATGATGTTAGGATTTTCTGCTGCTGGTGTGACGGGAAAAAGGGAAAAACTTGGTGTTTTGACCCGCTGAAAAGCAAAACGAAAAGTTTTCGCCGGTTTCTGCTGTTGTGGTTGATACTTTTGTAATAAAGTGCATAGTTCCTTAGTTCCGTAACATTTTGTGGCGTTTTCCGGGCATCCAGCTGTATGCACAAAATCAATCATTAGTGAAAGCCAGAAGAATATTGACGTATGCAATATCTGTACATTGGCTTAACGACATACAATTAAAAATGAAATAAAAAAAGCAAAAAGCTACGACCGACACCGACGTAACGGCAGCATGCTGATAAACACATATCTGCAAAGGTCTTTTGCTTCTACACAACAAAAATCAAATAAATTATTTTTAAACAGAAAGCTCATTCTTCGAGAGAATTTCCCCACATAGTTCGGCTTATTAGCACCGCTGTCAACAAATGCAATAGAAGCATCGTCTGACCACAGCTCGGGACAAAAAAAAGATCAGCGTGTGTTGCTGGCAGTACTTCCTAACGGATTTCTGTAGACCGTGGCCAAGACCTTGGCTTTCTTATTGTCCGGAAACAGACACTGACGGACGGCGGCTTTGAAGCGGTGGCTCATGAAATTGTAGAGGAACGGATTGATGGCAGAATTCAGATAGATGAGTGTTTTGGCGAAGAGCATGTACCATATATCCAGCCATGGCTCATCGGCAAAACTGTTGTACACTAGCATACCGCGGAAAGGCAGCCACGATACCGCGAACAACACCACAACCACGATCAACATCTGCTGCACCTAAAGACAAAAATAATGTCAGCATACGCGCAAACAGTTTTCCCCTGATTCTACATGCGCTATTTAAAAAACCATATAACCGTCCACGAAGTTCATTCAAAACGTGAACTCTAAAAATATGTTTTGCACATTTGATAGCAATAAAATAATTAATGCGCCGCATTTCGCTGATGAACCTTTTTGGTGATTGTGAGATAGAATAAGCCGATAAAATGAACTCAAATAATTATGATAATTGTGAAATCAAAAGCATAACACAAACATTTTTAAATAATTTTTTTATGTTTTGTGCCCGATTGGTTTTCATAAGTAAAAAACTAATAGAATAGCATAATCGAGCCATTTTAATTGTACGGATTCAAAGATAACTGTATAATTATTACAAAGTATTTGAAAAACAAACATTTGGATAAAATAAACGTGCTGTATACCGCATACATAACATACCGCTTTTCCAGATTGATTTACCGACATCTCCGGATGCTCCAGTGCGGCAAACGGTTGATGCAGATCCACCATGGGACTATCATAGCCGTTCATCTGGTTGAGCTGCACCACCGACAGCCATTTCCCCGAATCCTCCCGACGAAAAAAGTAACCCCGGCGTTTGACAATACGGCTAATCCGCGTATACAGCACCACAGCCACCGCCAACGGGACAATGTAGAACAGCACGAGATCCGCCAGGAAGAAGATCAAGTACACACTGACTGACAACCGGAAGCGACACTGCGAATACGCCGGGTTGCCTTCGTCGGGTTTCAGCTCGGTTAAGCCCAGCCACGGACAGCAGTACAGGGTGGTGCCCAGCCATGATAAAAGAACGATGCGCTTAGTCCGCTTCACTGTGCACAGTTTGCGGGCTAGGAGCGGTCGGCAGATCGCAATGAAGCGTTCAATCGTGAAGGCCAGGATGCTGTGACCAAAGAAATCACATCGAATTATTTCCGTTACAGTGCCATGAGTCAACAGCGAGCAGGTTAGGACAATAGGCTTGAAGCGCTGGTGATAATTGCAAACTGGCTAATTATATCTGCTTTGCAGGTATTCCGGACACCCAAGAAAACTGGGTGGTTGTACGCTTACCTTAAGCTGCCGGCGTTGATGCCAAGAAAGTTGAGAAAGATAAATATGGCACACGCTGGCTGGCCGAGGACCCACCGGTTCCCCACGTGATATGACAGTATGGCTTCCGGAATGGCACAGCAAATCACCAGAAGGTCAGCGTAGGCCAACGACAGCTGCAAGCAAAAACAACCAAGTAATTAAGCTGATTCTTTTTATAGAGAAGTTACCGGCGTAATTGTTGGCTGAATCCTGTTACTGTTAGGTCGCGTTCAAGGTTGTACAGTAAATTATAACGTACTATGATAGGTTTCATTGAAACAGATGTCAAGCCGTGAACTTAGCTTAGCACAAATCGCAACTGAAGCACTGTTACTTAAGCAAGACACCGTCCAACCATTTCTGGGAATCATTGCAAATTGACCTTTTGCAATGCAATGGATCTTTTCATGGATAACACCACATACTCAGTATCTGCTCCATTATGGATGCAGAATTGGAATTAACGGTAAACAGATTACAAGCCGACTGTCTCTGCTTTAAAAACGACTTTGCCGATTAGGATTATCACGGTATTAATACAGCGACCCATCCCGCAATATCCTTAATTGAATTACGGATTTTGTTTTGATATTACAGCATCACGTGGACTGGAGCGCTGCGTGATGGGTAGCAGATTTAGCATCTCCACCTGACATTCAGCTATGACGTAGTCAAATAATTAAATATAGACAGACCGTGTGACTCTGCAAGTTATACTGCAGATCACAATAAATGAAAACCGAAAACGTTTAAAAAATATATTAAAGAATTTCGCATTCCGGATCGGGATAATTATAAGGACCAATTAATAAAATCTCATAATCTGTTATTACTTATTATGGGTAAAATGTGTAGAAAAAATTCATATTTTACATCGGGATAAAGTCGGTTAGCCTAATTACTGTTTAGCGTTGCCATGTAATTAACATCCGTAAAACTCTTGACTCGGCATTCGGTGTTCTGAAAGATATTAAATTAAGACTCGACAACAAAATAATTTTTACTAACAGCTAACAAATTTTTAATTTATTGGGAAAGTAAAAAATGAAAACCATCCATTTGTGAAGTAAATGTGTATCTTATCCGAAGCATTTAAAGAATTCGAGCGGAACCCGGTACCATATGGATCTCGCATGTTCCCGCAGTAATACTGCGCTCGTAGTATATTTACCAAATAAATGTAAGTGGGCGTTTTCAGTGACGCCGACCGGTGTGCAACATAAATCAACACCATATTCCCGCCAAATCCCAGACAGAAGACCACCGCATGCAGGAACGTGGCCACCACACGGAACGCCAACGGCAACAGGGTCTCATTGTCCACCAGACCAAGATCATACAGCCCATCGGCATCATAATCACCACTAATACCCTGATTATACGACACATTCATCTTGCACGCCGCAACATTAACGGCACATTGTTCACTGACAGAATGCCGGCAGCCAGATGCACGGGAAACTAATGTTCTACCATCGGGATAAACGGTACACCAGGACGGGCCTAATCACTCTGCCTGAGATTTTCTTGCAAGGTTTCTCAGGAGAATGCAATTTGTCATGGGATCCCCGCACACAGACACACGCAGCGTCGATTAACTATGCACCGGAAATGTATCGCGGAGGATGTGAAATTGCATCCCGTAATTGCGCTTTCTGCCGAATTAATTACCCTTGCGCTGCCGGGTTCAAAAAGACCTTTGCGCTGCCGTTAAAAAGGGTAAATAAAATATGCATACGCACGTGCACGGAACGACGCATATGCAGCTAATGTCGCGTCATCGCTACTTTCAACAAATTTTGGTAAATATTTTTGACAAGCTTTACTGCGGGATTTTCCTCCAGCGAAGAAAAGATACAGGAAACACGCTCAAATGCAGTGTTGATCGCGGTCAAATATTTGGCGAGAATTCCTGCGAAAACCCATTAATTATTGAGAGCGGTTAATGTAGGAAATGGCGAAGAGAAAGGAACGTACGTCATACGAGAGTTGGCCGTTACCTCACGCTAACTTAAGGCACAGTATTACACAGAGTTAGCGCAATGGCCAGCGCGGACAACAGACAATTCCCTGGCGAAACGCGCCGGGCTGCGCTTTTGGAACGTGTACTTTTCGCATTAAGCACTGTCTGCGCCCACCCGTGGGAGCAGAAGCTGGTTTAAAATTATGTCAACACATTTCTCTAATTAGTTTTCATCACGTCTTCTTCCATGCTTTATTCACAGTTTATTATCAGTTAAAAATAAAGCAGCAGTTGGAAATGAAAATAAAAATAAAGCAGCAGTTGGAAATGAAAATAAGCAAGTTAAATTTATTAGTTAAAATATTCATAGTATTCGGAAAAACAAGTAATAATTGCCTGAAAAATAAAAATAAATCTTCCAATAATTTTTCGATTAACCTTTCGAAATTCTCGCCAATCTAAACTTCTAAACGAATTTTGCAAAATCGATTACAACGGTGGAGACGTTTTGTATAGGCAAGTCAACTGACGCAGTCATTCGAGGACGGTAAATGTACACATTAAAGACTGTTTAGTTCGTGCTTGCCGCGCACCCACAATTTATTTCCGCGGGCATTGCCGACATGCACACAATATCTCGGCTACCAGAAAAAATTTATTTAATTTTCACCCATCATAATCACTTTGGGAGTGATTAACGCGAAATTGTTATAGAAACTCATTGGACCGTACAAGCGGCAGCGGTAACCGCAGAAGAAGATAATGCACGCACACTGAACGCATCAGTGGCCAATACCAATTAAAATACAAATTTATTAATTCTGCTGGGCTCAACAGACCGTCAATAATTTAAAGATCTTTAAATTCATTCTTCCGCGATTATTTCAGTTTTTCTTCGAAGCTCTTTTATTAAGCTTTCGCTATTTCTCCAACCTGTTTTTCTGTTTACAAAAATCAATCGCATTATCGGTAACCGTATTACCGACTATAGTACCACCCAGAACGGCCTGCTTCAATAAATCGATCGCAAGTTATGTTGTTTCATATTATTTTGGTACTTTGAAGCAACCAAGTCTGTGTCGACGGTACTTAATTTAATTAGCGGAGATATCTGAACCAGGCTGCTGATTTCTCCAAAAAAAAGAACCAGGTATACATGGTACCAAATCCATATCCATCAGTGAGCGTTTTGCGTATGCGTAAGTTAAAACGTTTCTGTATACTTTGTCATGCGGCTTATGCCAAAAGATTTTGTACAGCTATATTTGAAAATTGAAAATCGCTTGTGCACGCGACATCCGGTTGCTGCAAGATGTCATATTAAAATGAACGCCATGTGATTGATTATCCCACCTTCTTGATACTTTGCGGCGCATAATTACTTGAACAAAGGCAACTCAATCTGAACAAGAATTACGATTGCTGTCAATTTTCCTTATTTTCGAATAAATTCTTAAAACTTTCAAAATTGATGGCAAGCCAAAAAAATTTATGCGAAGTTGAAATACCCAATGCCTTTTTCGTTTAAAAAATGAAAATTGTGAGGAATGAAAAAGAATTTAATTATCATGATTCATTGGGCCTCTTTTCTTACCATAACAGACTGAATAAAAAGATTTTTTTTTCGGAATATGTTACTTTTCTATGGTACTTTATTTCGTTTTTTTTCGGGATTTGTTACTTTATTTATCCCGAACGACTACCATTGGTCAAATTTACCAATACGGCGTACGCCACCCAGTATGCGACGTACCAGATAAATGTAGGTCGGTGTCCGCAGAGCAATGGCCCGTTGGGCGACATAGATCAGCAGTACATTCCCCACGGAGCCCACACAGAAAATCAAAGCATGCAACACCGTCGCGCTGATACGGAAGGACAACGGCAGCGGTGCATCCTCGATAACAATATAATCCGGGAATTCATAGAAACTCCCGTTACATTCCGGGCTCATCGCCGTCTGATTGCACATGTTGACAACGCCGTAGTGAAACCTCACAGTTCACTCTAGTTGTGAACGAAACCGCACAATACCGGCATGAGCTACAACTTGGCCGTCGTAAACTGAATGATTACTGTCGGGAAAAGTGCGGCTATTTTAAAAGATCCCAACGCGCCGAACCCGGCAATCGTGTGGCTAATTATCAAACTAAAACACCCAGCCGGATTCTACGCGAAGTCTAACAGGAAGATGCGACTAACTGAATCCGAGCGTACGGGAGCGGTGATCTATGATTAGCCGCTTGAGAGCCGGTAATACGGGAATCACAACGCCGCCGCTCCGCCTCCTCCTGCGGGTTACGACAGGAAGAGAGACTGCCACGTCTTAATTGCCGGGAAGAGCGGGAATTGCAAAGCGGAACCGGGCAGTAACACATTCCACTCATGAATAGCTAATTGCGACGTATCAGCGGCTTAACAAATCAGGGAGGAGCTCACCGGGAGCAAAAGCGGCTTTCACACGGCGAGCGCGTTCGCAGAGGATTGCGTCACGGCGTGGAATGAGCTGGGACATTAAAGATTCACGTAATCCGCAAATATTTCTCGGTATACCGTCACCCTAGCTAATTAGATATTAATAAGGAGTTTAAAATTTTACTTTGCCTGCAGTTTAATCGGAAATTTTCGATACCCCGGAGACTGTAACGTGTTACTCAAAAGCCCTAGATTTTCTTTATTAGTTTTTGTAAGTTACGCTTAACGGTGTTTTATTTAAACTGTCGTTCCACAGCTGCGATAACCGGCATCGTTAATTGTATTGTTGATAAATGAACGCAATATTCTCAGCTGGTTTAATATAGCATGTTGCATTAAATCCATTGAACGTGTGCCGGGTTTGATGACAGCCGGTGTCTGTCGATGATGTGACGTGGCACTTTCCAGCGTGGCTGTTCCAACTTGAAATAGACCGGTCGATAATCGATACTCAGGCAAGTGCAGTAGATACTAGACTGATAGTAGATGTTACGGTATGCGTACAAAAGTTCGGGGAAATCCACTAATCTATTGTACTATGATTAAATTTTGAACCAGAGTCAGTAAATTTATGACCGCAGCTTTCAGTAATAATGATCGACCATCATGTCTGTTAAGGATTCGGCGATATGGAGTAAACAAAATCCACGGCAGCAGCTACAGAAAAAGATTTTTGTCCGTTCCGTTAGCTTGTACATCTCCACGACGATCTTGTTTTGCTTAATTATCGTCGGTAAGGAAGCCGTAATTTCTCGGCTCATGGGCTTTCTATGCTTGACTACATGTATTTGTTAATTTTGTAGCTGCATATCTGTACGAGCAAAGATTTGCGGATTCCTGTTGGATCGTGTTGCTGTTTGATTGTCCCACCGCTTTCGGACTGTTCGCTTTAAAAATCTCACAAACCCACAGGAAACTTGCCGGACTTCATATTATAACGGCGCTTGGTTGCTGCATGTTTTGCCTTGTAATAACGTTTGGCTTAATTTTTTCCTTTACATTAGTGACAGTTTTTGCAGCCGGTTTTGCTGGGGAAAGCCAAGAACTTGTTTATTTCAACACGGAGCGTAAATTTGCGATCCTCTCTGGTGTGGTTTTGCTGAATATTTTCCATTTATTCTTAACATATCTGAAATTTTTCAAGCTATGCATGAAAGCTGTATTCGCAACAATAAAGCCGTGAAAGGCTGATACTGCTATGATGAGTGCCATCCAAACTTATTGTATACATGGACACATGAGGATTTTTTATCTAGCATTTAATACAAGCTGATATGGTCTAACGCCTTTTCTGTAAATGTTCAATTTGTCCTTATACGTATACTCTGTATTTGAGTCGCCTTATTGTATCTATAAGTACATGCCATATAAACCCGTTACGCACTGTTGTATCTCCTAATTCCCTGTTTGAATAGAGGTTTTCGAAGCCACGGGTTTATCAGTAAAAAACTACCTCTTGGAAATTCGTATTCCAAACTTAATGTGAATAAATTGATGTCTTATTTGATTGCATTCACTGAGTGAAACTCATATATACAGTCACATATTCACACCTTGCGAATAAAGTATTTAAGTTAAAAATATATATTAAAATTATATAAAGAACATCTCGTCGCTATCTTACACCGTTGTTATCACCATTAGTCAAGTTACATCTACTAGTTCTACTATTAAAATTAGTTAGTTCTTATTAGTTCTACTATTAAAATAAGCAGCTAGCCTACAATACAGTATGATAACTGTGCAAATAAGATGCTGGTGTTGATCACGATCGTAAAATTTACGTACTCAGGCGCTGAATCACGATTAAAAGTAAACAAACTGTAAACCGCCAGTCTGCATGCAATTAACAACTTTCTTTGAAGCATTTCCTTATCGGTGTCACTGCTACCAGAGTACCAGCACCTCGTACCTAACAATTGTAAGTGGCCCACGAATAACTATTGTCGTGTATAAGCGTTCACGCCGTTTAAGGCTCCATGAACAATCTTTACTCTTCCACGCCTGTAATGCTCAATCGGTAGGCACTCGTACTCTCAAACTGTAACAGAAGAACTAAGGTGGAAATCAGACGAACGAATCAGGAACACAGAAGATCAGGAATCCCTCAGGAACGAGCTAACCACAACTTCCGGTCGCGAGTCCTGTGAGGATCGGCAAGAGCTAGGACGATTGTGTCACGAGCAAACCTGTATTCTATGCAATAATCCGGGAGCGATCATGTACATCAGAAGGAACAAGTATTGCTGTCTCTTTATCCAATTCTCATCACAGTTCACAACGCTAGGAAATCGTAATTAGAAAGCAGTCTCAGAAGTAAATCTCAGACTACTGATGCCGATATTAGGCATCACAAGAACTTATATAGACTTTGCGTTATGACATCATATACATCGCTAGTAAAAGAGAACAGCAAATCACAGCATTGATTGACTAGATTATCCGTTATGTTGCAGGTGGAAGGCGGACAGTCAGCATCCGTACGTACTCCGGCGTATGATCCTACTCCCATACGTCACCCCCACGAACGATGCTTGGCCGCGCCAAAGTAAACAATCCATCCCGCAACATCCCAGTGCGATTGTGCACCTCTATCCATCCTGATCCCGATCCACCGCACAATCCACGCGTCCATCCGATGCCCAATGTGACTGTACGCCGCGATTCCAGAGAGTTAGTGTGGAATCCTTGGCGAAGAGGCATCCGGAAGTCCACGGGTTTGGCAGGGCGGAGGTCCAAGGATCCAGGAAGGTGAACTATGAATTACTGACATGGTGCCGCTTGAGTTTAGATGGTGTTTATGTACAGTATACGGCATAAAGCTTTATTAATTGTGAAACTAAAATCTTAAAATGTGATTATGTGGAATTCTGTAGAACTATGCATTAAACGAACGGGACCGCGATAACCAACAACCAGTAGTATTCTTACGAATTCTCGAGTACTACATCATCCAGTAACAACGGTCAACAACAACAAACAAGCAAAAATATCCGCATAAAAATCATGAGCACAAATTACTGGTAGATGAGAGCAAATTTTAAACCAGCAAAAGAATATCAGTAGCAATAAGATCAACACGGCTTTGGTAAAGCAAAATCATTAGACAACACCAGGCCAGTAAAAAGGCGAGATCAAAGAAAGCAAAAGATCAAGGACAAAGGTGAGTCAAGGTTACTTGCCAGCACTGGGAGCCAATGAAAACAAACCGGTGATACCAGAGCCAGACGCAGCAGCATCCAAACGGCGAGAAACGTCAGCAGCCATCTGTCGTCGGCGATCGGCATCCAATTCCCGCTGCTGCTGTTGAGCCAAATAGCCAGGCACAAAATTATGCTCAGCAGAACCAACAGGACCGGAAGGTGCAGACGGCGCACGTGGGCGATCAGCTGGAGAACGGTCGCGGGCATCGCGGACAATCGGCACTTCAGGAAGTGGCAACACGTTTGGTGGCAAACCGGGAAATTCAGCGTTCTGCGGGGCTTGCTGCTGCACAGGTGGAATGACAGCCGGAGGAACGACAACGGCATTCAAGGCTGGTGGGCCATGTAGATTGACAGCAGGGTTGACACCATTGGGCTCACCTGCAGCCACATTTCCGTTGCCTTGGACCGGATTCGGTGCATTCGCTGCTTGGTTGCCCGGGTCGTCAACCTCCATGTTTGCGGCGGCAGCTTCCACTGGAGCAACTGGGTGAGCGTCTCCATCAAGTACTTCAATAACTTCCGGTGCGCCCAGAGGTCGGCCATTACGACGCCAATGATCGTTTCCACGACGCAAGTTATTGTCTCCAAAATTCCTATGATTTCCTCGGCCGTACGGACGAAAGTTGCCACGGTAAGCACCACGGGCTCCACCCCTTCCTCGGTGATTATAACCGGCATTATACTGTTGTTGCTGGTTGGAGGATGAATGAAAAATAGCGTCAACCAGCTTATCAAAAGCTCGGTTAGGATCAATAGGCGGCATGCCCAACTAATGAAAACTAGTGACCTTTTAACGCTAAAAGTAAAGAGAGAAAAGCGTCAAAATCACATTCAGAAAAGCAAGGAATCTAATACACCACTGGTGCCGAAACGAAAAATCCACAATGCCGATTTCTGCACACTACGCGCAAGTGATTTTATACCCGTCTGCTGGAGCGAATTTTTAAAGTGCGGAAGATTCCATACAGGTAGAAAAACAGCCAATCAGCGCTTCGCGCTATATCCTTTTAATGCAACGTAATCAAAGATCAGATCTATCCAGGTACAATGAGAGATTTAACACTGATAGCCACGGCACAGCGGAAAAAATATTAAACGACCAGTTCAATGACTCAGAGCGCGTAAAATTGAAAAATAAAAATTGGATGAAAATAAACGCAAAATGCTTTAAATTGTACAATGAAGGCTACCGATCAAAAACAAATCACAAAGTTTGGCCAGCTAATACGCAAATTAAGATCAAAAACGAAATGACAGATCATCAAATTCTGGCAAAAATGTACAGCATGAAGGATAACAAATCAGTAATGGAAAACTCACAATTCATCAGAATGCGGCTGCTGCTGAGCATAAACCGTCGGTTCCGCAATTTCAGGTGAATCCTCGCGAGCGACTGCAGCAACAGGTGGCACAGCTGGAACAACCGGCTGCATAAAAGGCAGCGGATCA